TTTTACATCAAAAAATTTCGAAGATTTACGAAAATTTACGGAAATTTATGCAAAAATTTACGGAAATTTTACATCCCAAAAACTTACGGAGTTATCCACCCTTAAAAATTTCCTGATGTTCCTCATATTTTCTATTATTTATTATAATTTTTTCAATTTCAATATTAAGTACTGATAGTTTTTTCTTTTCTTTTATAAAATTATCATGTGATTTGATATATTTAACTGATTTAGCTCTCTCCTTTTTCATAAATTGGTATAATATATTAAAGGATTTTGCATATTTATAGTTCTCTGTGAATTCTTTATTAATTTTTTTATTAAATTTTTTTGATTTCTTCTTTAGTATTGCATGATCCGCTGCTTCTATCATTATATTTTTAAGAGTTTTCCAGTTTTTGTTTATTGAGTTGACCGTTATTTCATATTTTTCTTTTTGTGACATAATAGTAGTTGTTTTGAGTTTCATCCATTTTTCGTCGCACATCAACTTTATATTGTATTTAGGTTCTATATTATCTTGTATTTCTCAATCTAAATGTATTTGCCATGTTTTTTTAATCTTTAGTTGTATTAGTTTATGATCACTATTTGTCACTAATTCAAGTTGCTCCGTAAAACAATCTATTATTTTTTTTTCCCATTGTTGTGGGATCCAGATGGCATCGATTCGGCTCTGCTCTCGTGAGTTATTTCTTTTTTACGTAAAACCACTAGAGTCTGGGTGTGTGATTCTATAACTGTCAATTAAGTCTTTTCCTGTTAATATTGAGAATATTTCACTTTCTAGGATATTGAATTGGTTATTATTATTTATATCTATATTTGGCGATGGTACAGCATTGAAGTCACCTATTACGATTACTTTATGATTTCGTTATTGCGCATTGTGGATCCAATTTTTAACTTGTATCAATGTTTCTTTGTTGTCTTTCTTCTTGCTTAATAAGTATAATTGTATTATTGTAATTATTGTTTTCTTAGGTAATACCAGGTTGATACTTATTATTCTTCCCTTGAATTTTTGAACTTTACATATATATTTATTTAACTCTTTTGATACAAGTATAGCTACACCTGCTCTCATCCCGTCAGATGACCAATGTCCTCTGTATTTATTTCCTCCTTCTATAAACTATTTTTCTTTGTTTTCTGTACAATTTGTTTCTGCAATACCTACGATATCTATATTATTTGTATTAACATAGTTGATGAATAAGGCACGCTTTACACTATCGTTAAAGCCACATACGTTGTGTTTCGCAATGTTCATTGTATTATTATATATTATATTGTTTTTGTTATTATTGTTATAACTAATGTTTGTTTCTTTTGGTTTTCCTTTATTATTTAAGTAGGACTCACTTTTGTTATTTATATTATTATTATTATTATTATTCATATTTAATTATTTTAATAAAGAAGGTTATTAACAAAAAAAAAACTCTTTCCGGTACACAAATTTTTACATAAATCCGCAGTAAAAATATTATTCGAAATAGTTTTTTCTTTAGTTTATTTCATTAAGTTTCCTTATTTACCAACACCATTTGTAGTGTGTGGTGAATATGAGCGAACGCTCAAATTCAAGACCAAGAAGGGAAGGAGTTAAATACTCCACACTTATTAAAAAACATGTTTCTGGAAACCC